CTGAGTGGGAGTCCAATTTAGGTGTTGAATTACCACAAGAAATTTTTCAGAATTTGTTGGTCTTTGTTAGGGAAACTTGAAATGTGTCTTCAAGTCTTGAAAAAGAAGTTAACCTTACCAAAAAAAGTATTTTTACCATTCTAACTTATATATATTCCTATGCTCATTGAGGTCACCAAACAGAGCCTTTGGCTATGCAAAATACAATTTGATTACGACCACATCCAATTTTTTCTATACTTATCTTGGGGATTTTCCAAACTAAAGCCTAAAGCCCAGAATTGAGGTCACCTCACTTAGGTTTTCTTTAGGCAGAGCAGGTTCTGTGCATTATTTGAAAGTGATTCCCATTCGCCTTGACTCCCCTCCAAAATTAGCTTCTCTAGCACTGATTATAGGTGCCCCTTTCCCAATTACATCGACTACCCATATCCATGTACATGGCTTTTTGCGGTTCATAAACACAAATCAGCAACAGAAATGGAGAACCAGAAAGCGTTCAATTCGTGCGCCAAATTCCGAATCGAAATCCCAGGCCAAGCCCGGCCCCCGATTCAATTGCTTCTCTGTAATGTTGGGTTTTTGGGAAGGAGGAGTATTGAGGGGAAGCCTGAGACTCAAACTTGTTCCCGATTACCATTACTGCAAAATTGAAGTAACATGTGTGACGATGCGCAATTGGCAAGCGCCCCCTGGCGGCCACTCTCTGGAAGCTGTTTCAGTCCCACCCACCCACTCAAATATACCCAAAAACCACCACCCATCTATTGTATTGTTTCGTTTTCTATTTCACAGACGAGTGGTTGTTGCCGCGGCGACTTTCACTGGCACACAGCCTTCAGCTTTAGCCTTCAGTATGGCAAAGTGGATGTGGGTGTGTGGGGTGTGGGGTGTTGGTGGTGCTCAGTGGTGCCCATGCCCCAAATACCACTACCAATTTGAAGCTAGCTGTGCGTGAGCCTGTCATGTCTTTGTTTTGTCTCCTTGCGATGGCAAATATTTGGTCTGCCCGCGTCGGTAGGAAAAAGTATCTTGCAGTTGCACACACACATACACACACATACAGGCACAAAGTATCTTTGCCCAATCTCCAAGTTGAAGAAGTCGCTGGCTAAAAACTGAAACTGTAAACTGTGCAAATAGTGCAAATGGGGTAGGGTGGGAGTTACTGTGCTATGTACATGTCTTGAGCGGAAACTGTGCCAAAAGACGTATGGCACAAAGCAGGATAAATTTGCCAAGTTTATCATAGCATACGGATGGCTAGGGGGGGTCTAGAGTTGGGTGGGACAGGACTTTGGGGGCTGTTGGCAAAACATGAGCCAAGGCATTGGGCATAAAATATTGTCGGCGATATTTTAACGCGCGCTCAAGCGAAATTGTCATATAAATAACGCCCAGCGAGAAGGGGTGGTGGTGGTACTAAGGAGACGGGACGGAGGGTTTCTGGTTTAAGGTTTTTGGGATATTGGCTGGCGTTACTTTGAAATATTAAACATTTGGCAAACAGGCAAAGTTGAAGTTTATTGCCGACGTTGATGGCTCGAGTTGAGCAAGTTTTTTTTTTTTTTTTTTTTTTGGCTGCTAGGAAAGGAAATTGGGCCAGGCTAGCTGAAACCTGGAAACCATTATGGACCCGTCGATTCCGATGCTATTTTTAAGCACCGTCAAACTTTTGTTTTTTTTTTTCAACTTCCACCACAGATAAAAGAGGGAAATGTGAGTTTGCTGCGGGCACAACTGTACTTGCCAACTCTTTCCCATTTCCCATTTCCCGCTCCGGTCTATTCTTTTTTGTCTACCATTAAATCAGAAACATGCATTTATTTAGCAATTTCCACCAACTACAACAGAAAAGTTGTGGCAAATGATTCTTTTTTCTTGTTGTTGTTGTTGTTGTTTTGGGTGCTGGCAAATTTTCAAAAAGCAAAAAGAAAAAAAACTATCTCTAGACTAAACAAAAAGCAACAACAGAAAGTGTTAAATGGGGGTGGTCGTAAAGGGTGGACGGGGTTGCGGAGCGGAAGTCATAGCGCTGGGCCAAAAGCAAAAGCAAAACCAAAATCCGGGGACCAAAAACCGACAAAAGACGGAACAGAAAACGGCACCAGACAGATACAATAAAAAGAGGTTTGTCCACCCACAACCCCCCTTCTAACTGACCCCACCACCGCCATTCCCCCCTTGGTTTTTGGGCCATGGCCGCAAGGCTGTTGGACTCAAAGCCACACAAAGAAAAAACAATCCTATTTTTGGTTACCATGAATATATATATTCCTTAAAATCTATACAGATTCCCAAAATAGTTTTGTAATTTTCATTTTCATTTGTCATTCAAAGACTTGCCAAGAATTTGTAAAAGGAAAACCGAGTACAAAGGCTGAAAAAGAATTCCTTGCAGAAAGGTAAAACTATAATCAAAAATAAAATTCAATTTAAATGATGATCAAATAGCTAGTAGATGAAAATTTTCTTGTAATTTTGGTTTCACTGTATCGAGTTCAAACGGCAGGCAAACATTTTGCAACAATGGCCGAAAAGATATAGCCATGGCCGGGGGAATGTTGACCGAGAGGGGTCAGAAAGTGCAAGTCGGACATGAACGGAACTAATAAATGAGTTCAGCAACAGCAGCAAACCGAATAAAAATGTCCTAAAAAGGCAACAAAGGCTACCAAATAAAATCTCAGCGCCAGACCATAAAATATTAAGAGCATACTTTCAATGGACGGGGGGATTGAAAGGTTTAGAAGTGGAAATGGAAAACGAAACTTGCAGCGGGTGACAATTTGAAAAGCTATACCAGAGGGGTAGTTAAATCAGATTAAATTATTACACTAAAAACTTCATTTTCCACTATGTTTAAGGAAAACTCATCTTTTTATAGACACCCTAATGTTTTTCCCACACTTTAAAGTGAGTCTAAGATTAATATAAACAGCCTAGAAAAAACCATAAAACATTATCTTATTGCGCTTTTATTCTGAATTCAGTGTAACCTATCAAGGACTCCCTTAAGTTATTTTTTCACTCCCCATTTTCCACATCAGATCATCGCCTTGGGTGCACGATGAACACCCTACCCACCCGACCCAGCCTAACCCAACAGATAACTTCTGAACTTCTCGACAGGTCGTGGCTGCTGGAGCTCATTGAAAACCAGGCCTGCGGTAACGCTTTGGCCATTTAACAGGATTTTAGCAATTTAAATATGATTTTTTCCTCAACCCATATATGCATTCCAAGCAGCTGTGCTGGCATACAAAGGGAAAAACTTCACAGTTTTTGTTTTTATTTCCTCGAAAATGTTGTCGGTTGTTTGTTCTTCGAGACGGAGGAGCCAGTCAGGAGCAGCCTCAACAAGTTGCTTTATGGCATATGCATGATAATGATGAGGAGTCGGAACCGGGACCGGGACCGGGACCGGGACCGGGATAAAGCCAGGAAGGACCCTCCACGAGTGCCATTTTTTGTGGCCTTCTTTCATATGATGGCTGCTCCCGGGTGTTTATGTGATATTTACATAATAAAAAGCGAGAGTTTTCGGCGTTCTGAGAATGGAAGTTATATGCTTTTTGGTAAAGGCAACCTTTTGCCACTCCCCCCTTAGCTCTGAAGTTCTGACCCATATCTATGATTATTTTCATAGCGCCTTTGGGGCCCGGCCACGCCCACACTCTGCGTAAAGTTGAAAAATATGAAAAGAGGGTGGTGACGATACACATCCTTTGTCTTTTTTACCCCTTCAACTCCGCCCTCCAAAAAAATGAACAACAAAGGGAAGAAAAAAAGAATTTTCGCTTTTGTTTTATTTATTTTATGGCCCGTTTGGGGAGCCCAGTGCCGATATCCTTTTTCTGGGCCCCATCCTTGAACTTCTCGCAGTTGCCGCGCTAAATTAAGTTTTGTTTTGCCAGTTGTCCCCGAGATCCCAGCCTCCTTCCTTCCTTCATCAGCCCCGAAGCTGATAAATGTCCCCAAAGCAAACAAAGTGCAAGTTGTTTTTTAAGTTTGGCCTGTCCGGGGATTATCTTTTGGCCTGTCCGGGGATTCATTGGGGAGTGGTTGGTATCTATAAGGAGGGAGCAAGGGGGGTTTTGGGCCTTAAATAGGGGTTGAGTTTGGGGCCAGGGTCTGACTTTGGGGACCTGCCAGTTGACACAAAGGGTTGCTGGGGTTGGCCCATTGTCTGACATGTGTGCCATGACTTGGGTGTGGGGGAAAAAAACTGACTTTGATGACGTTACTGGGGCTGGGTCTTCAAAGGAAGCTTCTGAAGGCGAAGGACTAAGTTCTATAACTAAAACATGTACAATAATTAAAGCTTTTTGATGAGAAATTAAAGAGAACGGCAAAATGGGAGCATCAGTGTGACCATTATGATTAAAGATAAATATACTTATAAATGGTATTTTTAATTGTTGATTAGGGGTATTCCTACCATTACCTTAAGTTTCTAAAAATAAACAGAACTTAAATGTACAAAATCTGGAAGTACCCACAAACAGAAGAATTTCCCGAGGAAATTGTTGGGTCACTAACAATCTGCTTCCATCCAATCGATAACCCAGCCCCTGTTTTCCGATCCAATTCGAGCCAACAGTCTGGCAACCATTAAGTCAGCAACAGACTGGCGGGCAACTGTTAAAGTGAAACTTGCAACAACTTCCATTTGCTTTTAGCCAGTCGCTAATTCCGTTCCTAATGTCCAGGCCGTGGCCATTTAAATTGTCTTCATTTGTTTACTGCCCGACAGTCAAATGGTGGGTATCTTAAGCGGGGAGTATGGAGTATGGATGGAGGTTGGATTGGAGGCTGGGAGTAATCCACAAAACTACCGATTAACTCCCGACGGGGGCAATGCGATTGCTCTGCAGCTCTACAGCTGCCAAATCCAATGGAAATCCAAAAGCCAAGCAATTTTGAACTCTAATGGAAAATCAATTTAAAGCGATGCCAGCTCTAACCCCGCACCTTTTGTTTCCTTCCTCTATTTGCAGGCGAATGCCGGAGGAGTCTGGACTGGAAAGCCATTGGCGAACTTGGCCAGAACGTAGTTAACGTGGTAAAGGAGAGCAGAAACCCAGAAACAGAAAGCCAGTAGAGACAGCGAGCGTGTAATGAGCAGACGACGGGCAATTACCATGTCGTTGGCCCCTCATCTTGGCCTGGCTTTTAGCCTCGGCCTGTGCATGGTTCTAGCCGGATTGCAAGTGGCCCAGGGATTGGCCAACTGCCCGAATGGCTGCGAGTGCGACGATGACACCCTAATGGTCAATTGCGGTGAGGGCACCCTAGACGTCTTGCCCATCGCCCTGAATCCCGCCATCAAGCGACTTGTGATTAAGAACAACAAACTGAAGACCATCGACTCATCCATGCAGTTCTATGCACAGCTAACATTCCTGGATCTGTCATTCAACGACATGCTTACCATACCAGAAAGATCGTTTTCGTATCACGCCAAATTGCAGGAGCTGCACCTGGACCACAATAAGATTGGCCAGGTGTCGAACAAGACCTTTCAGGGTCTCTCAACGATTAGTGTTTTGAATTTGAGGGGTAACTTGATTGCCGAACTGGAATATCGTACTTTTTCGCCGATGGTCAAGCTGGCGGAGCTGAATCTTGGCCAGAATCGTATCAGTCACATCGATCCACATGCCCTGGATGGCTTGGACAACCTGAGGGTTCTTTATCTGGATGATAATACTCTCACCACTGTCCCAGGAGAGCTAACCTTCCAGGCACTGCATTCCCTGGCAGAACTTTACTTGGGCACCAACTCATTTATGTCCATTCCCGGTGGAGCTTTCGAGGATCTCAAAGGACTGACCCGCTTGGATTTGCGTGGAGCTGGCTTGCATAACATCTCTGGAGATGCTCTCAAGGGTCTGGAGGCCCTTCGTTACCTGGATCTGTCGGATAATCGCCTTCCTGCGATACCCACTGCAGCTCTTCAAAATTTAGGACGGCTGGAACAGCTGAACATTGGCCAGAATGACTTTGAGGTGATCTCCTCGGGAGCCTTTTCGGGTCTACGGGAGCTGAGGCACCTGGAGTTGACGGGTGCCCAGAGATTGAGGCGTGTGGAGAGTGGTGCCTTTAGCGGAAACACCAACCTGGAGCACCTAAACCTTTCCAGTAACAAGCAGTTGAACGAACTATCCTCCATTGCCTTGGGTGGCTTACCCCATCTCAGTACTGTGGTGCTGAAGGCCAACCAACTGAGCAGCCTGGATGAGGGTCTAGTGCCCTGGGCTGATCTTCAAACCCTTGATCTCTCCGAGAATCCCTTCGAATGCGATTGCCGTTTGTTGTGGCTGCGTCATCTTCTGGTCAGCCGGAATGCAAGTGGTCAGTATGCCCCAGTGGTCTGCGCCTATCCAACAGCTTTGCGGGATTTACCGCTGGCCCAGTTGGCTGAACCACTTTTGGGCTGTGCCCATGGAGCGGCCAGCAAGCAGGCCATCATTGGAATCCTTGTGGTGGCTTGTGCCGCTCTAATAACCACCTTGGCCCTGATTCTCTACACCTGTCGTCGACGGATTCGGGAGGTCCTTAAGGGACACTCGGCTTTGGGAAGAAAGGAGCGCGAGTACCAGAAGACCTTTTCCGATGAAGAGTACATGTCGAGGCCACCACCCGGCACCGGAGGAGTTCACCCAGCTGCTGGTGGCTATCCCTATTTTGCCGGCAGCAGTCGGCCGATACCGGTTACCGAGCTATAGCTAGAAGCACCACCCCCGCCTCAGCTGCGGGGTCGGGGTGGTGGTGGCGGTGGCGCCAGCACTGCCAGCGGTGCCGTGCAGCAACTCCAAGTGCCCAGTGCCGTGGACCAGGCCTCCAACTCCTTCGCCCAGCTCAGCCACATTCACTACATGACCAACAATGGCCAACAGCAGCAGACCCAGCCCAACTCGAAGATGCACCACTCACAGCAGGATATGCGTTTGTTAGCCTGCAACGGCGGTAAACCACTGAATGCTACCTCGCTGCCGCGCCACCGGCCACCGGTGGTACAGGAGAGCACCCTGTCGCACTACAGCCAGCCACTTGCCAACGGGATTCGTCTCACCCAGGACCACTTTAACCACAACCAGAACCAGAGCCACAACCATCACTATGGAGGAGTCTATGCCAAGCCTTGCGATGCGATGTCTGAGCCCGGATATATCCATAATAATTCGCATTATTCGCTGCCCCTGGATCATGATTTGCCACCCAGTCCCACGCCCACACCACCGCCCCCTGCCCTGCCGCTGAGAAATGGAGTGGGCATGGCAATGATCCATGGTAACACCACCGGTCGCAGATCCTTTAACAATAATAACAACAATGTGTCTACCTTGTCCAACAACAATCATCATGGTGGTGCTGGTGGAGTGGGCGTGGCAGTGGGCAACAACAATGGCAGCCTGAGGCGGTATCACTGATATCCGGCCAAGACGTGCGGTACTTTGGGCCGTACCATCATCAAAACCAGGCCGGATCCGGATATCGAGCTGCATTACTTCTACAAGGGTTAAGAGAAAAAAAAAGGAAAAACGAAGAGCAAGGGAAATCGATCTAATTTAATCGGGTTTGTTTTGGTTTTTATTTTTGAAAAGAATTGGCGGAAATGAATTCATTTTATTTGACATAAAAAAGTATGCAGCTCTAAGAAGTTGCTAAAATTCCGCTAATTCTAATCAAAAACGAAAATCATGGCAATCCTGAATATTCATAATCTAGTTGTATATTCCTACGTTACGTGTATTCAAGCGAAAGCATTTTGTATAAATTAGGATTTAGTTCGAGAGGTTGTCGACCAGTAAAAGCGCAGGAAAAACGCAGGTGTATATAAGAAAATCTTGCGCACAATTTGGCAGGCAGTGCAGGTTGGTCTAAAGAAAATGAAAAACTAAAATATAGTCGGCCAACCTGCCGAGCGGTCATTTCATTTGCATACAGTGATCTTAATTATTAAGTTATGCTAACAAGCATTTCGATTATTGTAAATAATTAGAAGCTTCTTTAATAATTCGACAAGGAAAATCAATAAAATTTATAAACAAAAACTCAAAAAAAAAAAAAAAAACAATTTAAGCCAATAAATAATTTTACTTTATTAAATAACAAAATAAGCTACGCGCTTAAGCACCAGTCATTAAAACTATGTATGTATTTAGCCTAAAGCTATCACAAAAAATATTCCAAAAAAACAATAAAAACGCCGAAAACAAATTGAAAGTAAATATGCAAAAAAAACTAAAAGTAAAACACAACAGATTTTTATAGTTAATAGACTCAGTAAAGAATAAACTAACCATTGGAATAATAAACAAAGAAGATGTTTACACAATGTAAAATGGAAATAGCAGAACTATTGAAAAACTTCGAAATATTCATGTAGAACCTATGCCGCATTCACAAATATGAATAAGCAATTTATGCAACATAAACAAATAAAGAGTAAATCTATATATATATATATACGAATTATGCGTGTAAATAAAAACAAGTAACTATGCTCGAAAAAACATACATTTTACGTTGTTTTTCTTTTTCATTTTCCCAGCTTCGGCTGAAGATTTTTATTTCAGCTTTTGATTTGATTTTCACTTTTCACTGCAACGAGTCGGCCACAGTTTTGATCGATTGTACATATTTAACAACTTAATGGAACAAATTGCAAAACCAATACAAGGGAGTTAAAAGTAACCTACAAATATAAACGAAGAAAACAAACAAAACAAAGATTACCAAAAAACTTATTCAAACGAAAATTTCATATTCATATTTCATAACAAAGCAGATCTTTCATCTAGTTATACGACAAATACACAACTATAAATAAATTAAATCAATTTAAATTAAAATTTAAGCAAATTACAAGGGACAAGCATAGTTAAACAAGTGAAACCAGATCAAATGGTATAAGAATATAAATCAGACATAGAGTGTAGCCGAAACCAAACTAAATTTGTGGATCAGCGTCTAATCGTATCATTAAAACAAAAAGAAAAATGCAAAAACTCAGACAAGGAATTCTCTCAATGTAATGGATAAATGCAAAAGCAAATGCGAAGAAAATTCAACAGTGTTCAAGAACTAGAGGATAAAATCAAATAAAGAACAAATTTAACAATAAATGATAAGTGGTTTTAACTTTCTGGGATCTTTAATATATAATTTATTGTTTTTTTAATATTTTATCCAAGTTGCTTATGAATTTTAAATTTGACATTTGCTTTAGAATGATCGTTTTCGCAAGCAGAATTAAGGGGTAGCGTGGCCGAGCGGTCTAAGGCGCTGGTTTAAGGCACCAGTCTCCTCGGAGGCGTGGGTTCGAATCCCACCGCTGCCAGATGGAATTTTTTTTTTTTATTTTTTTCTATTTCCAGAAATTGCAACTTGTTTAGCAATCTGCTAACGATTCCGGGTGCCAGCACTTGGGGGAACTAGTGTGCGCGCCCAGTAACTGTTTGTCGGTGTCAAATGCAAATACCTAAAAACACTTTTCCATGGCAGTTTAGTTAATGCCGCAGCGGCAGAGTTGAAGCTGCACAGGGAGCGCCTGGCACTCATCTGCATAATTTAATTACATTTAACAATAACAAAAACACGAACTCACGCACACATGCCCCCAAACTCACACGCGCGCAAGCTCCCAACGTGCAACATTTTGCGCTAATAAGCGACAGGGTCACCCTGGGTCCCCCTTTCGACGCGCTTTTGTAACCCCTTCTGCTGATGCTGCTGCCTGGCAAGCTGTCAAGCGATGCCGCACTGCAAAAATCTCAAGCGAACTTCGGGCGCTGAGTTCGTGACACGAACTATGTGAACAAATATTAACAATTGATTTTTAAATAATTATTCTGCAAATAATAATTTTATTGTTCAGTATTGTTAAAAAATATAAATATTTATTTCTTGATGGTTTATTAGCTTCTTCCCTGGATTAATATAGATTTTTTCAGAACACCTTACCTAGTTTTGAGATCTTCCCTCACGATCTCATCGCCAGATTTTACAGCGGGAGAGACCGAGTTCGCTCTGGCATAAACAGTTGCACATTTTGCATGCCCCTCCTGCCCCAGGATGCCTTTGGTTGAATGTTGTTGCTGCTGCTGCTGCTTGTGCATATGCGACATTAGCGCACGCAAACAACGTACACACAATTAGAAGAATTAACAGTAGTTAAGGCAACAACAACACACGCTAAACTTGTTGGCAAGATGTGCATCGGTGTGCAAGGACGAATGAGGTGGCTGAAGGGCAGAGGAAGTGGGTAGTGGGTAGAATCTATCCAACTGCCGGCGGCTGTTGTTGTACTGCTGTACTTGTAATTTAGTTTCGAAACGAGTTCCGCTGCATGTCCGCTGCTGTTGCCGCAACTTATTGGCCACAACATGCCAACTTATTAGGCAAAAGCGCAAAAGTTATAAATTGTTTCACAAGGCGCACATTGTTGCGGCCGTAAATATGTGGATACCAAGTTAAGGACAACGGGAAGCCAGAAAGTTGCCAAGGATGTGCGGTTATCGCTTTAAAATTAAGGTGCAAGAAGATCAGAGTGAAATGGTTTTTGGTAAATGCGAATTTAACAGCAGTTCAACCATGGAGTTAGATAAGCTTAAAAACTGAAATACTTCTACAACTTTATAAAGAATAAAAGAAGTGAAACCAATTAAATTCATAGCCATTCATACTAAGTCCTTTAATCTTTCAACACTGTCTCCCCCTTAATCCTTTTGTTTCCAAACATTGTATCACAATTTCATTAAAGTTCTTCTCTCTATTTTTATTCGCCCTTGCATTCAGCTAAAAACGAATTAAAAAATATTCTTAATAGCCAGCCGTAAATTTATGCCACGAAAATTGTTTTCAAAACAAAAGGAGAGTCCTTCCCTTACAAACCTTCGCCCCAAACATTTTGTCTGCTTTGCTAATTTATATGTTAATTTTTTTTTTGTGTTTTGGTTTCATATTTCCATACACAGACTGAATATTATTTTTGTGCTATTTCATATTTCGTTGATGCGGTCGCTTTATTTTGAATACAAAAACTGTAAAGGATGGCAAAAGCCCCCCAAAAAACAACATAATGCCATCGTCTATTCAAAAAGGCGTTTTCGGTTTGGTTTTTCCTTTTTTTGGGGTTTATTTTGCATGAAATTTTTGCTGAACTGGCACAAAAACAAGTTGGCCAGGGGTTTGGGGATCTGGGGGTTTGGGGTTGGTCAGGGGCGGCAGCTCATAGGCAGCTTTTTAATTTTCAGCATGAATTAGAATAATAGTCAACGGATATTACACAATGGCAGGCCAGGGGCGAGGATTGAGGGAGGAGGATTTCCGGTCAGCTTGGGTTTGGTTTTTGGCCTTGGGGCTTAGGGCTGCTGGCCATTAAGGGAATTGCCAATAGAAGAATCTTTAATGAGAAACTAACGGCTAACAGTATTCCCTTTTTTGGCCAAGGATTAACGAAAGAGTTACCAAAAATAATTTATTACACATTCAAAGCTGGAAATTAGTAAATGTAATTTTTAATGATAAGCCGGTGGCAAGAATATATCCAGGAAAATATGTTCTTTTCTTTCCCCACTTAACATCTCATTTGCAACGCTGTAAGAAATATAAATTCAACAAAGTATTTAAAATAAAGTATCACCCACTTCGTGGAAATGCTTAAAAAAAAAACCAAAAACAAACCAAGTCAAAAAAAAAAAAACGACAAAAACAAGAACGTAAAAAGTGCTGACACCTTTGAAAAATTTTCACGCTAATAAAACACAAAACATGCCAGAGCAATGTGAAAAGCGTGAAAAGCGTGGAGGAGTCCACAGTTCCCTGCAAGGAGGCCACCGAGATGGATGGCGATAAAGTCGGGGAAGGTCCAGGTCCAGGACCAGGACCACGACCACGACATTCTCTGCCAAAGAGGGAGTTGGGCCGGAAAACCCAACAAAAGGAGCAGCAGCCGCAAGCAACCGCAATAGGGGAAAAGCTGGAAAAACCCAGGGAGCCCAGCAGGACTTGTTTTGTATTTGTCCCAAAAAAAAAAAGGAAAAGAGGAGAGCAAAAATTTGTTTTAATGCCACGCTCTTTTTATGCTTTTCTTTATAACTTCTTTTCAGCTTTTTTGTCATGTTACAATTTCTGCAGCGACAGCAGTAAAAAATAATACCGCCCACCCCGCTCACTGCCCTAAAGGCAACCGCAACTTGTGCAACATCATAAACCCATTTGCGTTTTTAATTAGTAACATCACAACTTGGCCGAGAAGCGAAGCGGCCGAGGGCGAGCGAAAAGTAAATGACCATGCACAAAATGTTGCACTGAGGCAACACAACTGAAACAGATAACAAGTCCTGCCTCAAAATAAAAAAGTATAAAACTGGAGCAAATAAGGTAAAAATTTTTAATTGCCGCAGAAGCAGAAAATTATTAAGTTGCGGTTTCATTTCAAGTAGTGCGAACCCAACTAGCCAGGGAACTGGCGGACTGGTGGTCAGTTCATCCTCATCATCGCCGTCATAAAAGAGTCCGGCAACAAAAAGTTGAAAAAGCGCAGCTCAAGTGGAGCAGCCTCCAGTCGGCGGGAATGGTTTCGGTTTTCGGACTCGCTGATGGTCTCCGGTTCTCACTTTTTTTTTTTTTGTAATTTTTTTTTTATTACGAATATGGGGCAACGACCGCGGGTCACTGCTACTGACCATTGAAGAGGATTCTGTCAGGGAGGTGCCGACAAGTGTCCTTCAAGTGGTAGGGATAATCCGCAGGAATACCGCCGCTAATTAAAGTCAGTTATAAAGTTAAGGGGAAATCATAAAGAAACGTTTAAAAAATAAGATAGGTATAGTGTAGTCTGTAAGCGTGATAAGCTAATAATCATAAATATGATCTGAACATTTAAGTAAATCTTATTACTTTCAGTTGTAAAATTCTGCTTAAAAATCTTATAAACTAAAGCCAACGAAAAGCTTCTGCAAATGATCCTTTTTGCCCTGGTTTCTTTCTGGTCAGCTAGTTAAATCCAGAAGTTTATGGCGCATCGAGCACTAAACGCTTTTCCGAAAATACTTAACCCCACAGCTAGCCGAAGTTTATGTGTGCGATGTCCCATGTGCTTGGGTCAGTCATATTTTATTTCCCCGTTTTTCTTTGCAGTTTTTCCGCTTGCTCCCCGCACGTACAAGTGGCCAAGTTGAATGGACAGAAGTCACAGCAGAGCAGTTGCCACAATTAACACGTAGGGTGGTCCGCGGGTGAAATGTGGCCGGGAAAAGTCCTGAAGTGGGTTAGTCGAAGGACGTGAGTGCGCAGTGAAATCCATGGAGCGATGAACGTGTCACCCGTCATGCCAGATATATTTTACCACCAACACCATTTGCCTTCCGCAATTTTTTTACATTTTTTGTTTCTATGTAACAAAACATTGTCAAAGATTTTACAATCTAAAAAGATTGTAATTGAATTTAATTATAAATTTTAACAAATAATTAAAATAAAAAGGTTAAATTTTGTAATACCTTATCTACATT